GCGGCCCCCGCGGCGGGGGGCACGGCTCTCGGCCGGGGGACAGAGGGGGTCCCGAGGGAGAGGGGTCCTCCCGTCGAGGTTCGAGGATCGTCGGCGACGTCGTGATTTCGTTCTGTGCGGCCGTCCCCGGAGGCGCTCGCCGGCGCGGCGGAGCGCAGCTCGAAAAGCTGGGCAGGACGGGCCCGAGAGGAGGTCCAGGGGCGCAGTCTGAGCGAATTGTCCGCGCCCGCTCCCGTCTCCTCCACTCTTTCACGAGGGGAATGCGACTTGCTACTCTCATGAGGAAAAGAAACACACAGACACAATGAATCTTCGATTCCCCAGAAAATATGGGAACATATGGGAAGTGGGGGGGAAGACAGAAACCCAGAAAGTATAGGAAAACTATGGGGAGCATGTTCATTTGTGTGTATTTATTTGTGTGTCCTGGGGCCTTTTCATACTCTCCCCTCTCTTGACCGGTGCGGGCGCCACCTCTCCCGCGTACCGGCTTTGCATGCTTCAGAAACACGGGTCTCAGTTCCAATAATCTTGTGGTGTGGGGGGTCGTTTTGAATCTGCAGCGCCCCGCGCCCTCCCATCTCGCAATCCCCCTCCCCTCCCTGCTTCTGCCCTCCGTGTCCCTCCTCCCCCTTTGCCCTCTGCATGGGCCATGTCGGCACACACACACACACACACACGCTCACACACACACATACACACACACACACACGCTCACACACACACACACACACCTCACCTCGCACGTTTCGCGGCAGGGTTCGCATGTTGCCGCGCCTATTACGGCACCCCTCACACGTTTCGTTGCGAGCTCCACCGACGGCCACAGTGGCAAGGTTCGCATGTTGCTGCGCCCATCCTGGCACACCCTTTACACGCTTAGTGGCCCCAGAATTAGGAAACTCTACCGATGGCCCCAGTGGCAAGGTTCGCGTGGCGTTGCCGCGCCCATGTCAGCACCGGCCTGACACGTTTCGTGTCTCAAGGCCAGCGCGGAATTCAAGGGCGGGGAATGCGCCGCGAGGAGGCGCAAGAAGAGGGCCACGCAGTTGCTTTACCAACTGTTACCTGGGAAGGGGGGCGGCATTCGGGCCATCCGAAGCGCCCGCTGCGAGCACCTCACCGAACCCGCTGCGATGGCCAGCGCGCTCCGGGACCGCCGGGGGCGCGTCTTCGAAGGTCGTGGTGTTAACGCGGCGCTGTTGCAGCAGCGGTTGGACGAGGACGCGGCCCACCAGGAAGCGCAAAGCCTTGGCCATGAAGTTGCGCGCCGCTTTTTTTTCCAAAAGCCACCTCTGCAGGGCAACTCACGCTTCGAATAACTTTGCCTCTGGCACATACAGTCGGGGCCCTCAAGAAGGAACCCTTTTCGTTGGGAAGGGGCTCCGCGTTCCTTAAGTGCTTCACAGCTTGCCTCAGGCTTTCCTTATGTCTTCGACAGGAAATCGAAGGTTAACTTATGGAAAAAAGGGGCCTCGTTCCTTATTTAGGGTTCTCTAGGTCAACGCCCCGACTGTAGGGCATACTCTTACGCGGCTTGCAGATGCCTGGAGGACTTCGCCGTGGGCGTCTTTTGCATGAATTTGCCAGGACGCGGCCGACGGAGAGGGAGTGCTGGACCCTGGAGGACTGCGGCCGCACAGCATCACCAACGCGGGCAACAAGTTCTTGGCCAGTCCTTGTCGCATGGTGCTGGAGCCGGTGTTTGGCGGTGTTCGGCTTTTTTCGGGAGCCTTGAGACGGGGGTCAGTGCAAACGGGGGTCAGCCAGGGCGCCAGATCCTGCAGGATCCTGCGAAGGCCCCCTCTGGCTGACCCGGGTTAGCGAGCCGCTTGTGGCTGCGAGGCGGCCGCGCCTATTGGCTGACCCGGGTTTGCGAGGACCGGCGTTGCAGTTTTTTTGTTCCTGCATTGCAGTTTTTGGATTCCTGCTGACCCGGGTCTGGATTGTCCCGGGTCAGAAGATCCCCGGGTTTTTTGATCGTCGACGATTAGCGGGGCTTTCTCCATGGCCGCTTCATGCTTTTGTAGCATCATCGATGCGAGCGAGGCAACGATGCAGACTGCGGCGCAAGGAGACGGCGGCATGGTCTGCTTCTGTTATCTTGGTCAAAACCATCTCGTCGACCGAGCACCAGCTACTGATGAACGTCTTTTCGCCGCTTGGGCAGGCCACGGCGCCCCCAGCGCAGCGCGGCAGCCATCGCGCGGACCGCGAGGAGCGCGGCTGGCATCGTGGCGGCCCCGCCTGTGGAACCCGAAGGGTCCTTCCTCCATTCGCAGAGAGTGGGGGCTCGGCGCGCTGCCGAGCAAAAAATGGTTTGAGCGCGCACCGTGTCTTGTGAGACCTCTTACCCTTTAAACCCTACGTGTCAAGCTACCGCACCGAACTGCCCCAGTTCCCCAAGCAGTGCTTGCACCGAAGGTGTCCTAGTAGCGGAGATTGAAAGATTTGGCAAAAGTTCTGGGCCGATTTCGGTGGGCGGCCGGGTTCAGGGTTCCCGTGTTCCGGCTTCCCGGGTGTCCGTTTGTTGTTTCCGGGCCGATTTCGGTAGGCGGCGGGTTTCTTGTGTTTCCGGGTTCTCAATTTCCTTTTTTATCGATCGGTCTCACCATCGATCTCATGTCCCACCTCATTATCGATCACAATCGAACAATCGATATCACAATCGATTCACCATCGACATCACTACACATCGCACGGGCGACCTAACGATCGAGCTTACTACCGATCTCATTGAATCGACTTCACTATCGGTCTCACGATCGACGTTACTATTGTCCTCACAAGATTGATCCCACTATCGATCCCACGATCTCATTATCCATATCACTATCGAGCTCCTGGTTCCGGATTCCCAGGTGCCCGTTTGCTGGTTCTGGGCCGATTTCGGTGGGCGGCGGGGTTCCCGGGTTTCCGGGTTCCCGGTTTCTTCGCCGATCTCCTTATCGATCGCTTTCACCATCGATCTCCTTACCCACCTCTCCATCGACCGCACTATCGATCGCAACCCCGAGCCCTAAAGTCGTCATTTCCGACTTGGCCCTGAAGGGCCTTCAAGAAAAACGACGCCTTGCGGCGTCTTTTTTTGAAAAACGCCGCCGCGCCATTTTTAATATTCACCCAAGATGGGCCCTCCCTATCCATCGAAGCTTAAGAAGCCCTCTTAACCTGAACATCCTAAGCGGGCGCCTCTCTTCCATATTCCAGACCAGAAGCCCAAACGTGACGATACTACAAGTTTCCGATGACCCCACTCGGATTCGAACAGGGAGGTGGCGGCCCCATAGGGAGGGGGCTCCCGCCTGAGACTTCCTCGAAATGCTCTCACAGACGAGGCTCCCGCATTCCTCAAGGTGCGTATGTGTGAATGTGTGTGTGTGCGCGAGAGTGTGTGAATGGCTTCGTAACTGCGTGAGATGGTGATGGCGACGATGGCGATGATGACGGTGTTGATGATGATGATGATGATGATGATGATGATGATGATGATGATGATGATGATGATGATGATGATGATGATGATGATGATGATGATGATGATGATGATGGTGGTGGTGGTGGTGGTGGTGGTGATGATGATGATGATGATGATGATGATGATGATGATGATGGTGAGGGTGAGGGTGAGGGTGAGGGTGAGGGTTGGTGGGTGGGTGGGTGGGTGGGTGGGTGGGTGGGTGGGTGGGCGGGTGGGTGGGTGGGTGGGTGGGTGGGTGAGTGATGATGATTCTGATGATGTTGATCATCATCATGAGAACGTGTGAGAGACAAGGAGGGAGAGGGGAGGAAGGAAGGAATGCGTGGGGTGTGCAGGTGTGCAGAGAAAACAAGAACCTCCCGCCTGAGCCCTTTCAGGCACGATCCTCCCGCATGAGCCTTCCTCGTTATCAAAGGGCCGCCTTGGAGGCCCCTCAGGGGTCGTCTTGGGCAGTCGTGGGCCATCCTGAGGCTATCGTGGGCCGTCTTGGGTGCATCTTGGGCCGCCTTGGAGACATATTGGAGGCATCTCGGGCTGGGCGTCTTGGAAACCAGATTGAGCCATAGTTGGGCCGTCTTAGGGCCGTCTTGGGGGCTTCTGGGGCCATTTGGGGGCCTCTTTGGGCGCTCGTGGGACCCTCCTGGGACTCTTTTGGGAGCCCTGGAGCGCCTCTTGGGGCCATCTTGGAGGCTATCGGTCAAAAGAGGGGTGGGTTCCGATCGGCGCCCCCCCCCCTGGGGCCCGCATCTTGATGCGTTCTTGGGCTCCTCTTAGGGCGGCCTTGGGCGATCTTGGGGCCGTCTTGGGGGCTTCCTGGCCCCCTACTGGAGCTCTATTGGGCCATATTGGGGCCACCTTGAGGCCTCAGAAGCGCATCGGAAGCGAAGAGAAGGCAAACATCAACGATTCCCTCCGATGTTTTTAAAAATGTGGGCTCTTGGGGAGGCCCTGAGGGGTCTCCGAGAGCACTTGGAACCGTCTTGTGGCCCTCTTGCGGCCTCTTGGGGGCATGTCGAAGCTTGCCTTGACATTCTTCGGCCGTATTGATCCATCTTGGAGGCCAACTTGGAACTTCGGAGGCTCTCTTGGAGCCATCTTAGGCCATCTTGGGCGCTCCAACTCCCCGCGAAACGCCCCGTCCAGGTCCAGGGGAGGGGTGGGGGGAGGGGTAAACACCCCCCCCGAAGGGGAAGAAGGGATTGTTGGAAGAGGGAAGGGAAATCTCCCTAGACCACCTGTCGCCCAGATGGCTGGTGGGACTCACTTGCAACCAGGTCTCATCAGGTTGCGGGCCCGTGGCCAAAAATGCCAGCGTTTCTGATCACACTCCCGATTGCCCGACGGAGTCGCGGACGCGTTCAGGGATGAAAAAAACATCCATCGTAACCAAAATCCACAACATCATCAAACGCGTGACTGACTGGACTGACTGGACTGAGTGACTGGGTTGACTGGTTGATGTATTGGCTGGACTGACTGGGCTGACTGACTGGACTGCCTGGGTGAGTAGGCTTCCAAG